TACTACTACTACTACTACGTACTACTCGTACTACTACTACTACTACTACTACGACGTACAACCAGCATCTCCTGTTTAGGGTTCTGGATTTTGCAAGCAACATTTATTTTTGGGGTTTCTCAACCAACACCTCCTTTTGCGGTCTTTCGGTGCGGCAACCCGCATTTCAGCTCCTTTCTGGATTTCGGGCTTGGCAACCAACGCTGGCGTCTCCTTTCAGTGTCTCGGGTTTTCCAACCAACATCTTGAGGGTGTTGGGTTTCTCAACCAACATCTTGTTTCAACGTTTAGGGTTTGGCGAGCAGCATTTCCTTTAAGGGTTCCGGCTTTTTGCAAGCAACGTTCCCGTCAACCAATATCTCCTGTAGGGTTTTTGGTTCGGCAACCAACTTCTCGGTTTACGGTTTCGGGATCGACAAGCAAAATCTTCTTTTCGGCTTTTGGAAATGGGAGCCATTATCTCCTTCTAGGTTTCTGGGTTTTGCAAGCAACATCTCCTCTTAAGGTTTTGGGCGCAGCAATCAGCATCTCCAGCAGGCAACATCTCCTTCTAGGGTTCTGTGTTTTGCAAGCGACGTCGCCTCTTAGGGTTTCGGGTGCAGCAATCAATCAGACAACATGTTTTTCTCGGCTTTAAAGGTTTCTCCATTTTGGGGTTTCCGGTGCGGCACCCCGCAGCTCCGGGATTGTTTGGGGTTTGGCAAACGACATCGTAACATCTCCTTTCAGGATTCAGGGTTTTGCGAGCGACATCTCCTTTATGCGTTTTGCGTTTCTTTGCCGACATCTCCTTGTAGGTTCGGCGCCCAGCATTTCTTTTAGGGTTTAGAGTTCCGTAAGCAATATCTTTTTTTTAGGTTTAGGGTTTTTCAAGCCACATTTCCTTTAGGTTTTTGGGTTCGGCAACCGATGTTTCTTTTTAGGGTTGAAAATTGCACAGGTAGTGGTTTGAGTTGGGCTTCTCAACCAGCATCATTCGGTAACCAACATCTCCTTTCGGGGGTTTTGGGTTTCTCAACCAAGCTCTTTCCTTCTGGGGCTTGGGATTCTTCAACCAACATCTAGTTTCAGGGTTTACGGTGTCTCCATCAACATATCTTTTTTAGGGCTTCGGGTTTCTCAGTCAACATCTGTTTGAGGGGGTTTCTGCACAACGGCCCACATCTCCTGGATTGGTTTGGGGTTTAGCAAGCAACATCTCCTTGTAGGTTCTGAAGCAACATCTCCTTTCTGTGTTTTTTTGCGGTTCTCTGCCAGTATCTCCTTGTAGCTTGGGTTCAGCACCCGGCATTGCCGGTTTAATATGTGAGGTACTAAGGCTATAACACTTTGTTTCGAGGTTTAGGGCTTAGGGTTTCTCGAACGGCATTTCCTTTGGGTTTTTGGGTTCGGCAACCGACGTTTCTTGTTTTGGACATGGCAAGTGGGTTGTGGTTTGAGTTGATCCTTAAGTCTTAGGTGTAGCATCGGCATTTAGGGCTCCTCTCAAAGTTTTGAATTTCTCCGACAAGCCTCGCCTTCTACGGCCTGGGGTTTGTCAGCCAACATCCACTTCTGGGGTTTCTCAATCAACATATCTTTTTGGGGTGTTGGCTTGCGCAAATCACATCACCATTCAAGGTTTTTGATCACATCACCATTCAAGGTTTTTGCGGTGCGGCAGCCCACATCTCCTTGTAGGGTTTGGGTTTCTCCATGAACATCTTGATTTAGGGTTGTCGGTTTCTTTACCAGTTTTTCTTATCTTATAGGGGTTTGGGTCGTGTGGAAATTGCAGCCAACATCTGCATTTTGGGGTTCTGGATTTTGCAAGCAACATGTCTTTTTGAACTGGAGCTGGTACGCCAATCCACAAGACCTGGTAAACCCTTGTGTGTGTGTGTGCGTAAGCAATGTGGTAAGACACTACTAGATACGAATATCACAAATGCGCGCCGCCACGGCGTAAAATGCTGTTCGTCTTGGGGTTTTGGCTTTCTTAACCAATACCTCTTTTTGGGGGGTTTCGGCGCGGCAACCCCCATCTTCAATCAACATATCCTTTCAGGTTGTTGGCTTGCTCAACCAGCATGACCATTAAGGGGGTTTTGGGTTCGGCAGATTCAATCCGGCAGCCAACTTTTCAACATCTCCCTTTAGGGTCTGGGGTTTCTCCACCAATATTTATTCTTTTAGGGCTGTCGGTTTCTCCACCAGTTTTTCTTGGAGGGTTTGGGTTCGGCAACCAACACCTCTCTTTCGTGGGAAGTTGCAACCAACATCTCCTGCTTAGGGTTCCGGGTTTTGCAAGCAACATCCCCGTCAGCCACCATCTCCTGTAGGATCCTGTGGGCTACTTGCGTTTGAACTCCTGTGTCTCACCTTCAGGCTCTGCCTCTTTGTGCGGCTTCATTGCAGTTTATGGGTTATTTGCTTGCCGACCGAGCGATTGCGTCGCATCATGAGGCCGGGTCGCGCCAACAAAAACCTACAACGCAGACTGTCCGGAAAACTCGTTTGGAGTCAACCACTGATGAACGAAACAGTTTCGAAGCCTTTTGTTCCGAGCCAACAGCAATGCCATTCCATGTTTTTTTTGGCTTTTAGAGGGTTTCCGTGCGGCACCCCACAGCTCCGCGATTGTTTGGGGTTTGGCAAGCAACATCGTAACATGTCCTTTCAGGGTTCAGGGTTTTGATCTTGCAAGCTACATCTCCTTTATGTGTTTTGGGTTTCTCTGCAAATATCTCCTTGTAGCTTGGGTTCGGCACCCAGCGTTTCCTTTAGGGTTTAGAGCTTTTTAGGATTTGGAAATTGCAAAGGTTGTGGTTTGAGTTGACTTGTAGGTGTCTGGGATTCTCAGCCAGCATCTGCATGTGGGGTATTTCACGTTCCGCAACCAACATCTCTTTTCAGTGTTTTTCAGCAGCATTTCGGTCTAGGGTTTTAGATTTCTCCACCAATATCTCTTTAAGGGGTTTCGGTGCGGCAACCCACATCTCCTTTCCTGGTTTCGGGCTTGGCAACCAATGCCAACGTCTTTTAGGAGTTCGGGTTTCCCAACCATCATTTTCGTTTAGGGTGTTGGGCTGCTTTACCAACATCTCGTTTCAAGCTTTGGCGTTTGGCAAGCAACATCTCCTTTAAGGGTTCTGGATTTGACAAGCGACATCCCGTCAACCAACATCGTTTGCGGGCACCACGCCTAACGTGCACGTGCGATTTGCGTCCAACGTACATGCGGCACTTGCGTCTAACTTGTGCGGTGCCCGAAACCCGCGAAAATGAAGCCGTAAAGTCGTCCGGAAAATGTCATCTTTAGGCATGCATCATGAATCCCTGAAACGAGGAAGGCAGAGCAAACTCTAAAGTGAGAAGAAGCCCTAAAGTCGCAACGAACACGAAACTTAAAACCACGGAAAGCAGATCAAACCTTAAAGTCCCTGAATTCGTCCGGAAGATAAATCCCCAAAGCGAGGAACGCAGAACACGCACCAAATTTGTCCCGAAAGCCCTAACCCGAGGAATGCAGAGCAAACCCTAAAGTCTTCCCGGAGATGAAACCCGGAGCAAAAATGTTCCAAAGAAGAAGCCCCAAAGTTGTCCGGAAGAAGCCCTTAAAGCGAAGAAGGGAGAGGAAAACTCTAAAGTCCCAAAGAAGAAGCCGAAATGTCGTCCCCGAAGGTAAAATCGTTACGAAGAAGACACCCTAAAGCCAGGAAGGCCGAGCAAAACATAAAGTCGTCCCGAAAATTAAGCTTGAAAGTCGTCCGGAAGATGGAAACCCTAAAAGTCAGGAAGGCAGAGCAAACTTTACAATCCTTCCCAAGAAGAGGCCTTATCGTCGACCCGAGGATGAAACCCGAAAGCGACGAAGGCATAGCAAACCTTAACGGTGGGTGGGAAGGCCTAGGCCCTAAGCCCTAACAGCAGATGCTGCCCGGTGGCAGAGCCTTAGACCCTGCAAAAGCTGTTGGGTGGGAAGCCGCTGGCAAGCCAGTTTGCCCAAAAAGAGTTGTTGGATAAGAAGCCTGGCTGGATGGGAAGCCCTGTATGCCAGACGTTTTCCCCTCCTGGCCTAGGCTCTCCGTTTTCGCCTAGACCCTCTGTTTTCGTCCCATGAAGTGGGAAATCGTGGGGTTTTGCGTACGAAACCCTATGTTAGATCCGTTTTCGTGCCGTGAAGACAAGAGCTCATACATAGGTTAGTTGGTTACTAAACGGGACCGTGTGTGCGCCTCAGATGCGCGTTCTGTTGCGTGCGCCTTAGATTTTTTGGCATTTGCGCCTGACGCGCGATGGTCCTGAACCCTAAACCCTAAACCCTAAACCCCTAAACCCTAAACCCCTAAACCCCTAAACTCCTAAACCCTAAACCCCTAAACCCCTATAGGGTTTTGGTTCGGCAACCAATGTGTGGGTACAGGGTTTACTCGCAGGGTTCGGTCTCCTGTTCGGGCCTTGGAAATTGCAACCAAAAATCTCCTATTAGGGTGTTGAAATGGGAGTTTTCGAAACTAAGGGGTACCTTATTTTGGGGCCCTTATAATAAGGATCCTATTATTTAGGGTACAATATTAGGGTCCCCTATTTCGGAAACCCCCAAATGGCAAGCAACATCTCCCGTTTGGGCTTTAAAATCTCTCCATCAACATATCTTTTTAATGGCTTCGGAGTTTCCCATCCAATATGTCCTTTGGGGGGTTCCGTGCGGCAGCCCGCATCTCCTGGATTGTTTGGGGTTTGGTAGGCAACACCTCCTTGTAGGTTCTGGGTTTTGCAAGCATCATCTCCTTTTTAGGGTTTTGGAAATGGCTTTTCAACCGGCATCTGCGCTTAGGGTATTGTACGTTCGACAATCAGCATCTCCTTTCGTGGCTTTGGGTTTCTCAACCAACGTCTCCTTCTACGTCTCTGGATTTCTCAACATCACCATTTAAGGGTTCTTTGGACATCTCCTTTTAGGGTTTTGGGTTTCTCCACCAGCATCTCCTTTTGGGGTTGTCGGTTTCACCGCCACTCTTTTTTTGTAGGGGCTTGGGTTACCTTCTCTCCTTTTTGGGTTTTTGAGCTTTGCAAACGACGTTTGTTCTAGGGCTTTGGGGTTCTCAACCGATATCTTCCTACAGGCTTTCTCAAGCAACATCTCTTCTGAGGGTTTTTGGTGTGCGGCAACAAACATCTCTTGAAGTGTCGTTTAGGAAATGGCAAGCAACATCTCTCTTGCGAGGTCTGGGGGTTCTCGATCAACATGCTTGTTTCTTTAGGGTTTGGGGTTTCAAGAAACCAGCATCTCCTTTTAGGTTTGGGGGGCATCATCTGCTTTTGCGGTTCTGGCCTGGGGCCCGCGGCCTGGCGGCCGTGGCCGGTGCTGGCCGTCTGTGGTTCCTATTTGAGAACATCTGACCGGTTATCAATCGACCTCTTGATGTGGGAAAGTTTCCTGTTCGAAGTTCAAGCGGCTGTTGGAAGCTCTGCTAGGGAAGCAATTAGTCAACTGAGTCATTGTTGCTCAAGAGAGGCTGCTGCACGCTCCCAGCATTTTCAAATTGGTCTTGTTCTTTCTGGTCTTGCCTTGACACTCCGATCTCTGATCCCAAAGACTCAGGGGCCCAGGAGGCACAGTTGGAACCACTCCTGGCTTTCCCCCGTATGACCCAATGATCCAGTCGAACCGATAGAAACACGGAGCTATTTTATCACCATGAGCTATCCTTTTCGACGTATGATTTGCCATCGCTTCTGGGTGTGGTCACCGGGGCCTTGGCAGGTGCTGATGACAGCTGCAGTGGAGTCTCTTGGCAAGCTTGGCAAAGGGACTTTGTCAATCAGTCGAAGCTTCGACCAGATGCCCCGTTGCGCATGGCTTCATGACAGGGCTGCAGAGGAAGATCCCTCGAAGGACGATGCGGATAAGGCAGAGTACTAGTCCACACGAGTTAGCCAAACACGCCCGGCTGATCAGCTGTGCTGTGCATGAACATGGAAATATTGGATTGTGTTGGTACTTGCCGAGTTGGAGTCTTGCTCACAGTCTGCCTACAGGCCTCTACCGGTGCAGCGACGCCGGCAAAGCAAGAGAAGCCATCAGCGGAGTCAGAGAGGAAAGATATCAAGGCATGCATCTCAAGGGCAGTCGAAACTACAGATCCTCCAAACTGTGTTGTAAGAGTTAAAAGGTTGTATCAGATGACATATTGCACAGGCGCATGCACACATCTTTTCGCAGTGGCAGGGGTTTGAACCAATACTGCCATGTACAGGCACTCGCAGAGAAGCTGGCGGAGAAACTGCATGAGAATGCGCAGGCATCAGTTTCTTCGGGCTTATCATGATTTTTGCGAGGATGCGAGCACGGAGCAAGTTTGATTGCTAACGTTAGGCCCCTTTGCCCTGGAGACTCAGTCAGTGTGTCTGTTTAAACCACCCAAAGTCGACAACTTAAACACGGAGGCAGTCAAAGGTGAATGCCGCACAGCACACCGTTTGGGGCTGTCGTCGGGACAGCATACGTTATGTCGTAGGTGCCGGTCTGTCGTGGCGTCTCTGTCCATTTATGGGTTTGTGGGTGTGCCCGTGCCGTGGGCTAGTCACTAGGCGCAGGTCAGAATGTCACCACATGAAGCCCCCTTCACCCCCCCCGTCGAAGGCAGGACGCCCGGTGAGTGGACAAAGAAGTCGGACCAGCAGCCGTTCGGATACCAAGCTGCCTTACCGGAAGTTCAGGTTGCTGATGGTTGTTGCGGTATGGCACAATGATCCATTGCAAGTTTGACAGTCAAACCAGCTGCTAGATTTGAGATCACGCTGAACAGCCGGCCCGTGCTGATTATATTCTGTTACTAGTTGGTGTTAGGCAGTTCGTCAGCCTGAACCTGATTTAATTTGACGCTTGCGAACATGCTTTATTGGCATCGCAGGAATGCTGAGCCGCTAGATCTTGCATGCACCTGTCCAGGTCCTGGTTCAGCTGCCACCGTCAGGGTTGCGGCCGGGAGCTCTTCTTTCCTTTTGTGGGGAGTTGCAACTTATATTATATATATATATATACACATACACATATATATATATATATTAAACTCGGAGTGAACTCCGTGGCTTGGCCATTTTGCTACCCAGGTGTCTCGTACCGGCTCGAAAGCTGATTCGGAAAGACGAGACACCAAGGTCGGGGATGTCACGCAACCAATGGGTTCCATGCAAACTGCCCGCATGCCGCAAGCCCCAAAAACTGTAAAAGATCAGTTGCAGTGACCCTGTCAGACACCTACAGAAACACTCGACGAGAAGTTCCGCGAGAGTGGACAGGTGCAGACATAAAGATCAAGACGTGGCAGTATGTCCATTTAGTCTGCCCTGTGAGCCCATGTTTTTGAGAGCTTTGGAGGCAAGCCGTCCGGTGAGCCGCTCTGCAAGTCGCCCTGCGAGTGGACGAAGCCGAGCAAGTCGCGTGGATGCCTGGATGCGATTCCCGCTGCCAGCATCTGCCAGTGAAGTCCTGACCAGGGCAGATTCAAACGGATCTAGTTTGAAGCGACTGCGCCGAAAGGTCCTGGCTCTGCAGCAGCTGCCAAGGCAGCAGCACAGACCTCAGTTTCAGCTTCTGAAGCGCACACCTTCATCACTACACCTCTGGCCCAAGCAGCTGTTGGTTCCGTCCAGAAGCCGGGCACCGTGTGCATCCGTGTGCAACATCAACATCTTTAGGATGTTCAGATGTGCCAGAAGAAGTCGCGCCAGACAGGATTCGACCTTGCATTTTTCAGTCAAGCCCCGATCCATTCCGATAGTTGTGCGTCGCATCATGAAAATCGTGCACCATGTATCTGCGGCCAGGCGACTTGAACATGCATGCGGAGCACCTGCGTAGCTGCTGTCGCCTGACTGAGGCGGCGGCTGCCCTCGCTGGCGCCGTGACGCCCGGCTCTTGCATATTGCATGCCATTGCAGCGCCATCTGCTTCCGTGCCAGTTCAATGGTCACCAACCCCGTCGTCATGTTACAGGCTGCCATCAAGCCCGAAGTTTTCGCAGAAGACACCCCTGGCAGACAAGGCGGGGGCAAATTCAGCATGGCCGTCCTGAAACCGGGTTGGAATGTCCAGATGCAGCCAACAGCGGGGTGGGGGTGGGGGGGGGGTTGTTGTTTTCCCGGCCCCCTCTCCCGGAAAAAGCGACTACCTCCTCTCCTGTTGTTGCTCTTACCGCCCTCCCACTGCCGAGAAAAAACTACAACTCCCTCCTCATTCAGGAGCAGTAGTAGTAGTAGTAGTAGTAGTAGTAGTAGTAGTAGGATGAGGAGGAGGAGGAGTAGTGGTGTAGCAAATGTAGTAACCGTAGCAGAAGTAGCAGTGATAGAGGTAGTGGTAGTGGACGCGGTCGTCGTGGTGGTAGTAGCAGGAGTAGAAGCAGCAGCAGTAGCACCGCAGGCGTGCCTGTCAGGCCTGGGCATTTCGGACGCTTCTGCCGCACCGTCCGTACCGTGCTAACGTCCATGTTCTGTTGGGAATGGAGGGGAGGGGGAGGCAGGTTAACCATGCCGAAATCAGAATTTGCCCGTGATCGCCGGAGCATCCATGCCCAAACACGCATATGTGATCACAGGAGCATCCATGCCGAAACCGTAATAACGTACATTCCTAATATTTCCTAATTGCTTGCGATCACGGTTCATGTAGGATACAAGGAATCTTGTTGATTACTCACGAGGCCCCAAGCATTGCTACTTTCGAGTACTTGCAGCACTTCGTACAGCTTAAACGCATTAGTTTTTGTGCCTTCCATTCTCACCAAAGCATAAAAAACACCGTAAGGGTGTCAGGGTCCTCGAATTTGGTAAATCTTCTTAGCTCAAAACTTGTTTCATCCGAATTCAGGTGTCTTGAGTCGAGTGCTTTCTGCCTTCATGGACAGAGGTTGTGTTGCTCTTGGACGTTTTGCATAGGCACCTTCCACGGCAGGAAGGGTTAAAGCGTGAGCGATGTCTCAGAGTGCGTGGGGCTCTCAATTGATATCTTTCCCGGCAGATCTTGTACAAGCTGATCGACACTGGACTGGCGGAATCTCCACCCTTGGATGTTGCCGGGTTTTGATCTTAGCATGCGTAGGAATGCCAGCCTGTGAGCCTATGCCTCGCACTTGCAAGAGCCGTGCATTCTCGGTCGCGCTCGTCTGCCAAGGCACGACTTCGACACCTTCGAGTCGCCTCGCTCTCGCATCAGGCCCTCTCCTCTCGGCTCTCGCACTTGAGCTGGAGTTTTGTTCGGCGCGAGCCTCCGAGTCACCTATGTCAGCACACTTTAGCATATGATGCAGGTACTTGAGTTGCTCGAACGCGTGTTTGGGCAGGTGGAAATGGCTGCAGCTCGGGCAGGCGGAAATTGAACTCTGAGGCACAGACGGAAGAAGCTTGCAGTAGCTACGCGAGGATCCCAGGCTGATACCGCAATAGAGGAGATGTCGGGTTGCGGGGGTGATCCCAGTCGTGAGTGTATTCAGGAGCAGTTTTCCCAAGAAAGTGTTCGTCAAGCGCGATTGTCCATGTCTTGTGAAGCGATGCGAGGCAGTCGCGACGCGGTCCCGACTAGCATACACTGATGATGTTTCTCATGAGCTTGAGCTCTTCCAAGCCTTCGGGGGAAGTGCTTTTGCCTCTGCTGTGAAATCACACGCGAGGCCACGACACAGCTTTCCCACCTTGTGCCTCCCGTTCTTTCAGCCTGGAGCACGAAACGAACCAGAGCAAGACTTGACAGTACCAGCACTGCTGAAACTCGAGAGGCACAAGCACAAAATCATTGCATGCATTGGTGGCAGCCTCCCTGGAAGAAGCAAAATAGCGTTACTTGCATGCAGAGGCGGGTTTCCATGGTTTGCAAAGCAAGCCGCTGGCTGTCATTCATTCCAGTGCACCTGAGCTCTTCGTCAGGACATTTTTAATGCATTTTAGCACCAAGTTGCAATGATGTGCGGCCCATTTGTGAAGTCCGGATGAAGGCTCGACTTCTGTTGCTGACAGAGAGGTGCAGACCCGATCGTGGCGCACTGTCACTGGCAGCTTGCACAAGAATGAATTTCACATCATCTCCTGCCTAAAGTAGGATCCGGAGTTTCACCAACATTTTCAATGTAAATGCGCTGGTGGCTTACATGCCCGGTGGAGAACATTGGAGTGGCTGGAAAACGAGAGCTCAGATCCTACCAAGAGTCCCAGACTCCCGCAGGTGAGTTGCGAATGTCAGCTCTGAACGGTAACTCATGTCTCGCCAAGCCTCAGGGTCTGTGAAATCACCCTAGCCCTAGCCAACCTCTTGTGGCCAGACTCGTGGAAGTGTGCAGCGAATTTGGCTTCTGTACGAGCAAGACTGTCTGGTGCTTAGTAGGGAATGGGGGAATGGGTTATAGAGGCTACTATAAAGGACCTTAGGGGACATTCCCTACTAAGCACCAGACAGAAGAGGGCTTCGCATAGCCGCTTGCCATGGATGACGATCTCTGGACCGACATCCTGCAAGCCTTCGAGCACGAAGCCGGAGATCGCCCTGGATCGAAACCGGAGGGTTGGGAACTGTGCCTTCTGGCGCGCCTAGCAGCAAATCGCCTGGAAAGCACGAAGAGTCTTCGGAAGACTGTGGCCAAGAGGATCGAACGGTTGCTCCTTGCCGCAGAGCCCCGTCTGGATGACTGCCGCGGTGTGCTTGCGCGAGGCCTGGGCAATGCGATCGAGCTTTCAGCACCTATTCAGGAGGCACGCCGGCTTGTAAGCCGGAGCCTGACGTCTCGGTCACGATCCCCTCGACGAGAGTGTTTGCGGCAGGCACATACGCTTCTGGAGAATGCAGGCGGAGCCTGGAAGAACCAGCCCGATGCAGTAGAAGTGGCGGCCAATCTACTCTCAGCGGGGGAGGCGCTCCCACTTCCTGAGGAGAGATCTCTGCTCGTACTCTGGCGGCTGTAGCATGCGCTTAGTACCGAAATCCCTTAAGGAATCCATGTGGCATGTGGTGTCCCCCCATGAGAACTAGGCGAGGCAGAGGCATGTTACTGGTACGTCGAGTTGTCGCAGGAAGGAGGCGACCTGCAAGAACTGGGCGAGGAAGTTGCTGCGCCAGACACAGCCTCAGTGCAGAAGGGCACCGAAACCCGCATTGAAGTCACCCGACAAAGAAGCGCTTTTGCTTCCAGTTGAACTTTCAGAACTGCAGAAAGCAGTCCGACATCGATCAAGTGCCTCATGTGTTTCTGCACACCTCAAAGATAGCCGTCATGCACGTAGGTTTGAACAGACGGCGGATGCCGCGAACCACGCGGGATTCGATTCAACCTCGGCCTCACCCGAATGCATCTTGCTCGAGCGGGGCTTTGTTGTGCCTTCCCCTGAAGTGGTTGAAGACAGTGGATATCCGGAACTGGGACAAACAGACCCGACCTAGGAAGACACAAGTAAGGCTGTTTCGGAAGTCGTAACAGGGGACAAGACTCCCAAAGAAAGTCGCATCGAAGGCGACTCCGAGTCTCAGCGAATTTCCTCAACTCAGATAGGCAACAGACTCAGACGTCTAGACAGGGCCCCCAAAAAGCTCCCCGTCGTTCTCTGCAGACGCCTGCGCCCAGGCAACTTTGGGGCCGCCGGCCTTCTTCCCCGTGGGAAACGCTGCCGGTCGCTTCGAAGCTCTGCCAGCGCCCCGGAGAGCGGCGGCGGCGGCGGATAGCGGCGGCGATCTTTCTTCGAGGTGTCTCTAAAGGCGCATTCACAAAGCGCCAAGGACCGATGGACTGTGTCCAGAGGATGAGCTGCGTGCCTTGGCTTGGGTTTTTTTCGGGAAGCGAAGTACTTGTAACATCTTGGTCTGCTATCGCGCAGGACTGCTCTTCATCGGAGCGTCTGACCCAAGGCGTCACGGCTCTCTGTGTTTGCTTTGAGGTACAAACGGGGCACATTCCAGAAAAGTGCTGGTTCGGCAGAGCAGTTAAGAGTCAGAGGATATTCTGCCTGAAAAGCCTCACGAGCATCTCTATGTGCATGTTGATTATTATGAACCTGGCGCAAGGCACTTGCTGAAAGCGCTGCGTCCGCTGCATCTCAGCCTGTTAAAGTCAGCAGTAATGTCTGCAGACAGTCTGCAAGCTTTGCCTTTCCCGTAATTTTTCCTACTCACTGAATGCGCCTTTTCCTATCCAATTGGAAAGTGCTGCCCGCCTCGCACCATCGCTCTTCAGGACTGCATCAGCGTGCCGAGTGACTTGTGTCACAGACTGAGTTAGTTTCATGATTTCATGGTCTGACGTGCGACTATCGTAAATCGAAGTGGCCTGTACCCGGGCGTTTTCGACATCAGTTCTTAGAGCTCGTTGCAAGTATCGGACTGTTTCTCGTGCCATGGTTGCTTCAGCTTCAACCGTGCTAGTGAGGCGCAAAAGGAGCTTGCACGCACGCGCACCGGTACGCCATGCACCTGCACATGCATGCATACGTTCAAGCGCACTCGCTCAAGCACAAGCGTCAGTCAACGCGCAAGAACAAGTACACACACGCAAGCACAAGAGCAAGGACCCACGAGAGCGAGCACAAAAAGAAGCAAACACACGCGCACACACACACACACACAGACCCACAAACCCACACCCACACCCACTCCCACACCCACACCCACACCCACACGCACACGCCCGCGCCCACGCCCACGCCCCCCCACACACACACACACAAACGCACACAAGCACGCACACACACGCACACACACGCACGCACACAC